TTCCCTACGTCCAACCTCTCCAGGCCATTGTTAACATAGGTCAGACTACAGTCCTTTCCATATTAAAAAAAATAAATAAATTAAAAATCTGTCATAAAGTAAAACTGTTCTTTAGTCTGAAAGCAGATGAGAGGCATCTCATCTCACTGGTGGTATAAACAGAACCTTCACCCATGCTGCAGCACAGCACACTTAAATTTAAAACGTCATTTACAAGTTTTATGTATGTCTTGGAGTAAAGCTCACAACAGATAGTCAGCGCACACACTCTACAGAACAGTGACTGGAAAACCTTCCCATGATCTACCTAGAAACCAGGTGAGAAATGTCTTTGCTGTAACCCCAAACACAAGGCATAGATCTTTCTACATGGCATTTGCTTTTTGTAATTCCTTTTAAGTGTTTCAATCTCATCCATGTGATTAATTTGGATGTGACTTCAAGCTTTACAAAACTGCTTAAAAATGCAGAATTGGGATGAAAATCTGTAAGGGGGAGAGGGTGGGGTTGGGTACAGAAGGCAGTTCCATCATTTAATGAAGCCTAGCATGACCAACAGACAACCTGTACCTTGAAGGTGACAGGGAACATCATATTCAATCTCATCGTGTCTCGATGGGCTAAGGAACAGGGTCCCGTCCACCAGCGGAAACTGTTCAAACACTGGCAGTGCCCTGTGGCATAACGCACAGTTTACAACGTTCCTGTGGCTGGCACTAAGAGCAGCAAGGATAAACTTCCGAAGGTCCTCCCCTTGGCCCACCTGGGCATCATCTTCCATCCGCACATGGAAAGTATTCAATTTATGCCTGGGGATGTGAGTCAGCAGCTCAGATAGATCAAGCCTTCTCAAAAACTGCACAGGAGCATCAAAGTGTCCTGATCTATGTGCTTGCAAGCCAGCTGCCCCGTAATCAAAATGTGCATTCCTGAACATGCCCCCACTGGCCATGTTCTTCTTATGGGGCTCCAGGTGAATGGCATTCTTCAAAAACTCTCCTAAGTATCGCGAGGAACGAGGGCCGCTGAAGTGCGTGGGGGCAAGAATAGAGTAGCCAGTGGGTGGGGACTGGCCGGGAGAGACACAAGGCGAACGAACACCGTAGCTGCCACCCATGACACCCTTCTCCTGGGAGTTCTGCCTGTCCATCGAGTGCCGTCGCTGGATGTCATGGCTCAAGCCCTTCTGTGGCTTGTTGGCTGACCTGCCCTTTTTGGCTTCCTCTGCTGACTCTGCCATTGATCTTCCTGAGCTCTTCTCCAGCACCGATTTTTTCTTCTTATCATCCTGCATTCGCTTCACCTGGTACCAGTCCGTGTCCTTTTTCAAATGACCCTGCCCACATCGACAGGAACAGAAGCGAAAAGCCAGATCATATCCCTTCTTGGTCCACATGTTTTGGCGACACTGCTTTTCGTTCCAGCTCCTGGCTCTGCCAATGCAGTTGAACTGGACAAGAATGCTGCTTTCCCACTCGTAGAAGCACTGAAGGTGCATCCAGGTGCTGTATGGACAATGCTCATTATTGCATATAACCTTCTGGTAGTCATCCTTCTCAAGGTCCACCGGTCTTCCAAAGCTACAGATCAGTGGAGTAGCACAAGGAGCTTCTGTGGAACACAAAACAGATAAATTAATAACTTAATGGCCCATCTATGGCACTATTTCTTTCAATACCATGCCAAATATACACATGAGCTCTTACTCATGAACCATACTATAGAAGGGCCCACAAGAACTAGTTCTGGGTCAGGGTAAGAAGTAATCTTCGCAAAAAAAAAAGTTAAGTAGGTGAAAGGAGATAGGAAAATGATGGAATAAGGAGAGAAAATGACATTACAACTTAATATTCCAAGCCAAAGTACCTCAGAAGAACTAGCACTCTTCAGGGGTTTGTGGATGCCGATGCAAAGGCTTTAAGAAGTAAAGAGAAAGCTTTGTGATGCTTCTGGAGGGTTTTTTTAAAGCCTGAGAGGCAACACGGAGAGAATATACAGAGATGCTTGTTTGGAAAAAAAAAGCAGGCAACACAGCCTGGCTCTGTGATCACAGGGAGAGGCAGGAATTGATCTTTTCTTTGGGACTGAACAAGACACAACAGCTAAGGAAAGAAAAAGGAAGCAGAGGACTTTGAAAAGCAAGACAAACAGCTTATGTTCATAGTGCAGAAAGGAGGGCCCTCAACCCTGACTTACTGGATAGCTAAATTTCACAAACCAGATAGCTCTGCAATGCAGACAGGTTAAAAAACCCCAAATGCCACATGGTCCTTTATCAGCACTGTAGCAGCCTTTGCTACATTCTTGAGCAAAGAACAGTTTACTTCAATTCTCTTCCTGCAACAATATCAGCTTATACATAAAAATGCTCTACAAAAAATGTTCTGCCTGTATGACCAATGACATTATCCTCTCCCTCACCAAAGTACCATGGACCACATGCAGCTCCCATTTCTGTTGCTGTTGCAGCTGGGAGGCACAGAAAGGACAGGAAATTTTTAGCTGGAGTTTCTATTGGAACTTGAGTTTCTAATTAGGAAGTTTTTTTAGATGCTTATTCAAGTATTACAAATATTTTATGTTCTGTATTTCTTGCTTCCTGCTTCCTCCACTTAACCAAAAAATACTGCTCTGACAGGGCTGGCAGCCTGCCTTTTAATTGCTGCATTCAAATGCTAGCAGCTTCTTCAGTGTCTTCCATGTTCAAGTGCTGCCTCACCCCATGTGAAACAGAGCAAGCATCTCCCTGCAGTTCCCCACCGTCAGCCAGAGCTCCAGGACCTGCAGCAGAGGTACACCAAGCCTTTTGGAGAGAGGCTGCTGTGATCCACATTTTTTCCTTAGAGCTTCAAATTTCTGCCTCATAAAAATGCCATTTTGTTGCACTGCTTTTAATCCTGTTCTTGTCACTGCTAGCACAAATAATACAACAAAATTTGCAGTGGTTTTATGCTGCTACATTCACATTTAGTCACTCTCAGTAACAGATACACTACCCATCATCACCTGTCCCACAGCAGCAATACACAAACTAGATGCTTTACAACAACAGATCTTTGCCATGCTAGTAATTTTGCCCCTTCCCAACAAGTTTTTGTTAAAAGACTATACACAAACAAAATCTTCCAGGTTACCTTCAGTACATTCAATATTACAGTAGCTCTTAAGACTTATTTACTCAGAAGAGACAGGCACAAAAAAAACCCCAAAACTTTTCTGCGTCATTCCCTGGAAGATGCAACATCCTTCACCTCATGCCTCTGCCTCCATTTCAAATGCGAAAAGTGCCACAGTCACAAGAATTTTCTGCAATACCTTTCCTTCAGGGACTGGCCTATAAAGTGCAGGCAAAGCACATTCTCAAAATCTTCCTCTTAAAGCAAAAAAAAAAGCCTATTTTCATTTCAAAATATGGGCTTGTTCAGTCATTAGAAACAAATTACCAAATTGGAGAGAACAAACAGAGGCTCTCCCTGGGAGCTCTTAGGAATTGCCTTCGATACATATGACACCTATATTTGTAACTACTTGTCTCAGGTCTCTCAAAAGTCCACTAAGAACATGCAGGTTTTGAAATGTCTTAGGAGCATGAATTTTATTGGCTACCAACGACTAATTTTTCTACACATTTTTTACTGTGTATTATTGAAAATAAAGTTGCTGGGTTAGCAAAGAGCAAAGCTGAATGACAACTTATCTGCCCTGAAACAAAATCTGTCAGTTAACCAGTTCAGAAAGTTCTCCCACTCCCTCTCTCAGACTTTGATTCAAGTCATGCTATGCCACACCAGGCACCTCTGCGAAGTTTTTCTTCATTATCAGTCATTCTTTCATCATATTTAGGGTCTGAAAGTATAGTTTGCAATTACAGCATTCTTATGCAATTTATCAGGCAAGAAGCCAGTTAAAGTGAAGCCATTAAACGCAAATCATCGCAAGTCAGATGTGTAGCAAGATACCAGAGGTACCAATATGAACAGTTCTCACACATTTTCTGTATTCATCTATTTTGGTATGCACTCCTTTCCACCACTGCCAGGAGGCAGGAAGAAAGAACATGCCAAAAACCCACTTATGCTCCCCCGTGTGTTTCAGAGTGTAAATGTTCTAACAGTCACAGGTATAATTATAGCTGCTAGCTGAGGAAGTTACTATATAGACAAGTCTAGAGATCTCCACTTGAGAATAAAGACTTTACACTTGTTCATCCATACCGGCATAGTTAACTGACTAAATAAGAAAAAAGTGTTTCCTTGATCAGTCTTTGCCCATAATTTTGGCAAATTGGATGCAAAAACATATGATCTCTCTCCTGAAAAGTTTATAGTCTCTTCATTATGTCAACAAAAAATTAAATTAATAAAGTAGCTGAAATGCGGAAAAAAACCAGCTCGTGTGTATTCCATCAAACATGTCTATAATTATTTGATTATGATCATGTACTGGTTGTTCAGAGGCTATTGTAAAGATGACTTTCAAAAGATTTTTCCCTCTTTTCCCTTGCTGGTCAGTGGAAGGATTGTGGATTGGGATCTTCTCCTTGAGAATTTACAGATGCCAGATTACCTGAGGAACTTCCCACACAGCATAACTGTGAGCAAGAACAAGCTTCAAGTTTTGGTCAGCAATGTATTTTTCAACATTAAAGTGAACTAGATGACTACAAAGTTTTCAGACATTTCCTCATCTTATCTTCTGTCTACTCAGCATAAATTGGCTGCTCATACAATCACCATAGCAGAAGCAGGTCTACAAGCAGCTGGAAGAAAGCAATGGAGTGAACAAGAGCCTTCCCCCACACAAAAGGCCCCACTGGATTATTAAGTGGTGGCATTGAGATCACTTTGGAAAACATACATTGCTAAGAGGAGAAGCTGGTATCTGCTCACCCCTTCTGGGAAACCACCTGACATTTCACTACTGTCACTGCGGAAGCACAGGAAACAGTAGAAAAGCAACAGTCCTCTCTGCCATGTTGACATGCTCCAGATCAATGTTAATACCAGGCTAGTCAAAGCACCTGCTTTCATCGATACAGGTTTGTAATTACAAAGCCTGCTGATTTAAACAAAGCCTAGATAAAATTGCTGAAGTATTTCTATAACAGAAATTGAAGACCTCAGCATGGCTGGGGTTGTCATAGGTTGTCCCAGTAGAAAGTTCTACCACTTCTGTAGTATCCCTGTATTTAAGAAAGCAGAACACTCCACTATTTGAAAAGCATATAGAAACCTCAAGTCAACATTTGGTTCTGACTAATATTTCAAAGTCCAGCAGGTCTATCTGTACAAAGAAGACTGTGCAGGACTAAACAACTCTTGCAGATTTTCCTCCATTCATATCTCCTGCAAGACATAACCATGCTACTTGTTACCACATAGAGAGAAAAAAAAAAAAAAAAAGAAACAGAAAAGGAAGCAATTTTTGGTGGAACTTGCCCAGTTCACAGCAACAGATACGCCTTAAGAGCCAGAGGCAGCATTCAAATCACTTAGCACAGGAGCCACACTGGCAAATGTGAAGAGCTTTTCCTATCAATTCACACCCTTGAAAGTGCTCTATATTATTTAATCATCATTATGTAAATGAGACAAAGCATTTATTACAGAATTACAAAATTTAAAAAATCTTGTTATCAAGCACTGTAAAAATTCTTGTTATCAAGTCCTTCTATTTCTCATCAACTAGAAAGCCATTTTGGAATTATTCTTCAAAGTCAGAGCTAGAACCATCATTTTAATGTTTTACGGTAACAGTACAATGATTACTGTCAAGCAAGACAATAAGGGGGCGTAAACAGAAATTCACATGGCTGAACTGTCCATCCGCACCTGCAGCCCCAAGGTGCTTTGTCACTTAAACATAATTTGCTTCCAAGTAGCAAATAGCTCAACAGATTTCTGGTTTCCAAAGTTATGAAACTGAACTTCAGGAAAAACAAAAGATTACCAAGTATCAGAGCAGTGCCCGTTCTCTCAACGGACACTTCTGAAAGAATGCCTAAATGACCCCCAAAATACCTGTTTTACCTCTTACTTTCAAGATGGTTTCACAAAACAAGAGACCCTGCAGTTTCATGCAGCACAACGGCTTCGATGTTTAGACACAGCTGCCCAGCTGTGACAGACAGACTGCCAAGTGGCAACTACAATTTCACGCTGCTTCTCTCAAGAAGTTATGTTTCCACATAAAAAAAACCACCTCATATTCCACTGTAGTGATTTTTATCAGTAATTCTGAAAATAGTTTCAAGGGGCAGCACATAAAATGTCTTCTGAAACAGAAATAACATACAATATTCCAAACAAATATATATTTGAGCACAGATAGCTCATTGTTTAAAGAAGGTTACCTTTTATGTTGACAGAACTACCACAAAATTGACTTTTCTTTCAAAAATGAGAACCTGACAACAGACTGCAAGGAAGCTTGTTTGGGTGTTTGGCTTTTTCTGTTTTCCTGTCCAGGTTTACAAACATCAATAAAAGCCAGGAATAGAAACAGTCCATTGAGATAAATCTCCCTCAAAAAAAAAAAAAAAAAAAAAAGAAAAAGCAGCTATATTAATCCGTTTCTATGTTTTAATAAAAAATAAAAAGGGTGTATGAAGA